AGGAGGGAGGGAGGTGTCAGTGATGGGCCATAATAATCATATACATTGTATATTGACAAAATAAAACTTTAACGAAAATATATATATATATATATAATAAATAAATAAAATTAATTTGGAAATAGCCCACCACCATCCTAGGCACTCCACATTTTTGTATATATATATAAAATAAATAAATAAAATTAATTTGGAAATAGCCCACCACCATCCTAGGCACTCCACATTTTTGTCCAAAAGAGAACAGTCTCCTCAACCACATGACAACCCTCCTAATTCTATAGACTATTCTCACAGCTGAGATCATCTATTTTAGAAAAGGAACATCAGCAACCTCCTCCAAAGCTGTACAGGGACATTCAGGGCCAAGGAAACAAGAGTTGACGCAGGATGAAAGTACAGCTAAAGCAAGGCAGGACTAGGCTAATTCTGAGGGGCACATGGGGGTGAGAGATATGGCTTATAGATGGACATGTTTTCCACCTTGTATTTCCACAAACCTTCACTGAGAACCTGTTTTGTGCCTTGGGGGTTCAAAAATGAGAGACACTGTCCCTACTCTCAGAACTCTTACAGTCCAGTGCAGGGAAACGTAAAGGTAAATAGTTCCAAAGTAGGCTTATGCTAGAGTGAGAGGGACTGTGAGCGAAGGCTGGAGCTGATAAGAGGTCTGGGGAAGCCAGGGAAGGTGTCCTGGTGGGTGAGTTCTCCCTCTCCCCATCTCCAAACGCCTCCTGCCCTCTGCATGCCCTCCCAGTGCCTCTATCAGACGCTCAGTCAATGCACCAGCCAGCAGACTCATGTTTCGCATGAATAAGCTTTTATGTATGTGTCTGGTTCAACACCCATCCCTCTGCCCCACCACAGAGAAGCCAATAAAACTCTGGTTCAGACTGATACTGTACACAGTGTTCCAAATTCCTGGATCTACCACCTCCTACTTCCCAAGGACCATGAGACTCCTGCTGCTGGCTCTTCCTGTCCTTGCGTTCCTACCCCAAGTGATCCCAGGTAATCAGAACCCAGGAAAGCTGCAGAAATGGAGGTAGAATGAGCTCCAGTCCATGGAAATTTCAGTGTGTCACCATACCTCCTAATCTGGGCAGCTCCCACTCTGGCACTATATCTCTGGCAGGGTTAGAACCCAGGTGTAGGACAAGTTATCCTCACTAGACAGGTGCAAACCCAACATCCAGATTTGACCTTGGTTCTGTATTCCAAGTTGCCACCTAAGGAACCAGGTAAAAGCTTAACTTACTTCAGTTCTCTTTCTAGCTTGTCCCAGCTCCTGAAGATGTTTCACGAAGCCCACTTCCCTATGTTTTCTAAGCCCAAAAGTCTTCTTCTGGCTTTAAAGGAGGTCCTTTTCATCTTCTCATACTCTGGAACTTATTGAACAGGTCAGGAAATATTTGCAGAGCTGTTATATGAAAGATAGAACTGAGTTTTCTTCTCCTTTCTACAATGAAAATCTTGAGCTTTTAATAATCACTGCTCTTTTAAGTATGTCTAAAGTCATGACCAGAACTTTGAAATTGCTGCTAAAAGGAACCCGCTTTGTTAGGTATCTTTCAAGGAGCATTTCAATGTATGGTCAAACTCACATAAAAATGAATCTAAATATTTGTTTAGATAGACACACTATATGCATGGTTTTGCAGCATTCTTTCACTTAATAATATATTGTAGCCATATTTCCATGTCACCACTTAAAGATCTGCCTCATTCTTTGTAAAGTTGCAAAGTTCTGCTATAGGAAAAGCCTTAATTTACATATAGTTATTTAAGGCATTTACTAACTTTCTAACATGTCAATGAACATACTTATACAAACATATTTACATATTTGAACAAGGATTTATAGAGGATAGCTTCCTAGAAGTCAAATGGTCAAAAGTTAAAGGTAAGTCCGAAAAAAATGATTCCATTAATGCCTCCCTTATATATCTTTCAGGACACTGCCAGCAGAAATTGCCAGCTTTTGGAGTTTTGAGTAATTCTACAGTTGCAGTTCTAGACATAATCAGGGACAATTCTGTATGATCCATTTGGGACCAATTGTGTCTGCTTTGAGTTCTGGTGGGGATATTGAGACTCAGAAAGAGACAAATGTGAAAGATTTTATAGAAGAAATCCATGGGTTATAGAAATTCAGAGCATGTGGGAAGTAAAGGAAATATTATATGTCTGGGTCTCAAGTCTGAGTGTGTTGGGAAGCGATATAAATTTGGAGCCATGCTCTTGGAGGGAAGAGTTGCAACGAAAGAAGTACAAAGTCTTCATGATATGTCTTGGACATCTCCTACATTTAAGAAAGAAGAATAAAAATCAGTGACATTTATAGGGACAGGGGTATCTCCGTACCGTCACACAAGCAGTGCACAAGGGTTTTTCTATTACCATAATCCCTCCAGCACTCAGCATTATTTTTACCAGTATGAAGGGTACAAAGTAATCTCACACTTTTAATCTTCATTTCTCTTTTTATCCTACTGTCAAGATGTATGAATGGCTTCTTTCAATGACCTGCAAGACCCTGTGTGATTTCAACTGCACTATATTTTCTCCAGTTACTCTCCACCTAACTTTTCCTACATCCCCCATAGCCATAGGCACCTTATGTTTTTCGAAAGCTTTGAGATAAATCTTGCCTCTGAGACTTTGTACTTGCTGCTGCTTCTGCCTGGTACACTCTCCCCCCAGTTAGTCTCATAGTTCACGCTCACTTCCATCTCAATAAGGTCTTTTACTACTCCTCTTCCAATCATACACTTCCTATCACCCTTCCTGCTTCATTTCTCTTTCTTCCCTCCCTCCCCCTCCCTCCTTCTTTCCTTCTTTCCTTCCCTCCCTCCCTCCCTCCCTCCCTCCCTAGGACAGGCCAGGCAAGGCAAATGGGGCCCTAGGGTTGATCTTCCTTTCTTTCCTTCTCTTTTCCTTTCCTTCATTCTTTCATTTCTTTCTTTCTCTCTTTCTTTCTTATTTACTTTCTTTCTTTCTTTCCTCAGGTGAGGCTTATAATCTGTGTCTTAACTGTATCTAACATAAAGTATATTATACTTTCTTTTCTTTCTTACTGTCTTATTCATTGTCTCCTGAAAAGACTGAAGTCTCCAGGAGAACAGGAAGGTTGGTCTATATTTTTAATGGATGTACCTCCTGCGTCTTAAACAGAGCCTGGTAGGCACATTTGATGAATGAATAAATCAGTAACTGTTCCCACTTCTGTTAATTGCCTGTTTACATCCTTTGCTCGTTATTCTACTGGGCACCTGTGCACTCTTATTGATGTGCAAGAGTTCTTTATTTTTTATATGATGCCCTAGCCAGCTTTAGTCACTGGAAATATTTTCCGTTAATCTGTCATCTACCTGTCTGTGAACTTTGCCCATGATATATCCTTTAATTAATCATTCTGGTCTAATCGAATTCAACAATTTTTTGCCTTGTGCATTGTGCTTGGTGGTTTTGTGAAAGTCTTTCTTCATCTTTATGTCCAAAAGGGATTCTCTGACATTATCTTCTAATAATTTTTTAATTGTGCTTTCCATATTTAGGCCTTTAAGTCACCAGGTGGAATGTGTAGATTCACTTTTATTTTTCTCATGGAGTGAGCCAGTTTTCCCACCACAGTATGCTGAATTATCTATGCTTTCTCCACTGATTCGTGGTGTCATTGTTAGTGCATATACCCAAGTTCTCTATTCTGTTCTCTTGGTCTATTTGTCTTTGTGACAATACCATATTTGCTATATCACCATGGCTTTATAGTATGTCAGTATCTAGAAGAATAAGCTTTGGTCTTGCTTGTTTTCAATAGTAATCCTCACTGTCAGTGGTCTTCATTCCTCATAATAAATTTTACAGTACATTAATCAAGCCTCCCAAAAACCCCATTGGGATTTTGATTAGAATTGCATTAAATTTATGAATTAATTTAGGGAAAAGAGAATCTTTATAATAATTAAGTCATCTCATCCAAGATCACATCTTGTGTTAGAGTTTTAAAATATACCCCATAGAAGTCCTGGATATTGTTAGTTTAAAACAAGATGCTTCATAGCTATGCTATATATTTTATTATATTTTCTACTTAGTTACTGTTGGTGTAGAGAAGTGCTATTGACTTTTATAAGTTGATATTTGATCTGATGTAACTACTGAACTCATTAATTATAATAGTTTGTCAGTTCCTTTTTTATATTATAATCATGACTGCTGGAATGCATGACAATTTTGTCTCTTTCCTTCCAGTTCCTATACCTTTCTTTGTTTTGTTTTGTTTTTGGTTTTGTTTCTGTTTTCTTTTTAACATTGCCAGGTCCACCACCATTATTTGAGACAATAGCAATAATAGAGAGTATCTTTGCTCTCCTGATCTCAGTGGAAATTATGCTGGAATGCATGACAATTTTGTCTCTTTCCTTCCAGTTCCTATACCTTTCTTTGTTTTGTTTTGTTTTTGTTTTTGTTTCTGTTTTCTTTTTAACATTGCCAGGTCCACCACTATTATTTGAGACAATAGCAATAATAGAGAGTATCTTTGCTCTCCTGATCTCAGTGGAAATTAAAGTTTCTTCATCAGATAAAGTTAGCTTTATAATTTGATACATAACATTTGCCAAATTGAGTGAATTCCATTCTATTCCTGATTTGCCTAGAGTTTTCCTCATAAATAAGCAATGAACTTTAACAAATTATTTTTTGCATCAAGATAATTCTATTATTTATCTTTTAATTCTACAAAGGTAGTGAATTTAATTAATAGATTTTCTAATGTAGGATGAAATTTTGCATTTGGGTTAAACCCTACTTAGTCTTGATGTATTTTATTGTTGAATTTAGGCCTCATAAAACGAGGCAAGTAGCTTTCCTTTTTATCCCCCCCCCCCAATTTTCTGGAATATTTTAGATAAAATAGTACTTAATCTTATGTGAAATTAGTAGAACTCACATTTAAGATCATCTAAGATAGCAGCATTATTTGCAACTGTCAAAAGTTGGAAGCAACCCAAATGTCCATTGATAGATAAATAAACAAGCAAAATGTGGTATATACATGCAATAGAATATTATTCAGCCTCAAAAGGGAAGGAAATTCTGACGAATGTTACAACATAGATGAACCTTGGAGCGGGGGATGGGGATTTACTGTTTAATTGGTACATAGTTTCAGTTTTGCAAGATGAAAAGAGTTCTGTGAATGAATGGTGGTGAATGTATTTACTGCCACTGAATTATACACTTAAAAATGGTTAAGAGGGTAAATTTTATGTTGTGTGTGTTTTACCACAATTTAAAAAATCAACCAGGGGAGCGGGGGATGGGGATTTACTGTTTAATTGGTACATAGTTTCAGTTTTGCAAGATGAAAAGAGTTCTGTGAATGAATGGTGATGAATGTATTTACTGCCACTGAATTATACACTTAAAATTGGTTAAGAGGGTAAATTTTATGTTGTGTGTGTTTTACCACAATTTAAAAAATCAACCAGGGCTGAGGCTTTTGGGAAGAAGGGTCTTTCACTACTCTTTCAGTTTCTTAATGCTTATTGATTTATTCATTTGTATTTTCTTCCTATGCCATGCCTGCAATTTTTTTAGGAATTTATCCATTTCATCTAGGTTTTCAATTTTAAGTCATGTACAGTTGATAATTCTGTTATTTTTAATATGCTTTATCTGTTTTTATTTCACCATTTCACTATGGATTTTGCTTATTTTTAATGTTTTTTTCTTAATCAGTATTTTCAGAAGTTTGATTTCATTACTTCTGATTTCATCACATAAATGATGAAGTCATAAGACTTCATCATTTCTGGCTTTATTACAATTCTACTGATTTAAGTTTTATTTTTTACCATATCATTTAATTTCTAAATATAAGGAATTTTTATTTTAATTTTATTGCATTTGATTTGAAAACATAGAATGTGTGATATTGAGCATGTGGAACTGGTTGAGGTTTTCTATGGCCCGATACCTTCCTACAGAAAGTGTAGTTCATGGACTAGTAGTATTGGCATCACGTAGAGACTTCGTAGAAAAGCAGAAACTCAGGCCCTACGCCACCAGCTGAATCAGAATCTACCTTTTAAGAAGGCCTCTACATAACTCACATACACATTAAAGTTTAAGAAGCACTGGCTTAATACCCAAGCAATTAAGCTTATCACATAGGAATACCTACACTATTCCAAGGCTCTAGTAATGTTCTATTTCTTAATCAGGGTGTGGGTACATGGGTATTCATTTCATTATTAGTCTTTAAACTACACAGATATATTTCATGTTTCATATTTTTTAATATGAATATTTTTTTATGTTTCATATTTTTGAATGTATTTTTTGCAGTAGAATATATTCAGAGAAATTTAACTACATGGGATATGACCAAAGCAAAATAACTCAATCGCTGTAACTAGGTGAACTTTCTTTATGTGGATAGCTTTATACAGGCCCAGGTAGCTTCATTAAAACTGGCCCCAATTCCTTATGACTAGCAAGTTTCTATTCTTTCATGATAAGATTCATCTCACTTTCAGAAAAGCTAAAAATGGGCAATGGAAGTTCAGGAACATTGTATTTACCTGGCCTGAGCTGGAATCTTGGAGACATAGTCTGATTATGACCCATGATGTTGTTACGGAATGCCAGATATACAGTTACGCTAGTAAAATTGAGAACATCGGAAACCTAAAATCAGTGGTCTTTCCTTTTATTATTCAGCCTTTAGTGGTGAAAACAAATGCTGGAACAAATTGGGGCACTGCAGGAAACGCTGCAAAGATGGAGAAGTGATACGAGAAGTATGTAAAAATCATCGATTCTGCTGCGTTCGAAATCATCAAGTCTGGGTTACAACTAATAAAGTCCCCGAGCAAGCTCCTGAGACAACTTCCGAACCTGCGTATGATTTATCAACAGGAATTATAGATGTAATTATAACAATAGAGCCCTCTGTAACCTACTCTGAAGTAAGCACCGAGAATGAACCCAGTGAAGAACCTGGCTTGGGAACTCAGATCACCCTTCCAAAGGTTCATCGCAGCTCATGAATTCCTCTCAAATGTCACACATCCATGTCCTCAGAGTGATGGGCTAAATCACACAGACAAAGCACTGAAAACCCCATGGTGATCCACGCTCACCCCTCACCAATCCACAATTCTAGATACAAACAACTATGTAAAGAAGTCTAAAACTTTATTATTTCCAGTGATAAACTCTTCAGTGCTCTTCTTGAAATGTATAATTATTTCCACAAGTTTTAATCCATTTTTAGTGTTCTTTGTTTGCTGGTGACCTATGTTCAACCTTAATCACTTAGGTATTCCAACAGTGATCTTTTCATGTGTCCTTCTGTCTTCCTAATAGGTGTCTTGGGATACCAGAACCATCCCTTGTGTTAATCCTGACTCTTGATGGCAGCAGCATAAGTAGTCAAATTCTAAATTCTAAATCTTTGCACTGAGTAGAGTACCTACCAGAATAATAAAGCTTTCTTTAGGAAACAGCAGACACCCCAAATGAAAGCATTCATTTTCTTACTAACTTTGGCCCTGAAGCTCTGTCTTATCTCTCATCCTAGGAAATTGGCCCAGATGTGAGCTACGAAGAATCCTTTTTGTCCCAGTTGCTTCACGTTGGATTAGAAGTTATTGAAAGCTGGATCCATAGGTCCATTTCCTTGACCAAGTCTTGATCACACATGGACATCAGGGTTAGGGATAGCCCCTAAATTGTGGCTGGAAGGATAAGCCATATGTCCACTTGATTACTGAGAGCTTTGTCTGTCTCCCTCTGATAGCATTAAAATGTCTTCACACCCTATCCCCTTTCAGAGAGGTCCATTCGCATAACTCTGCTGCAGACCTCATTGTTACAAATCTTCTAATCTTGCTCTTTCCAATTCCCTGAACAACCAGCCAACCAGTTACCACTGCCCATGAATTACTACAGATCCATACTTCAGGCGATCCCTCCTTTTGCTAGAAGGATTTCTCTTAAACACCATCTTTCAGGGCTACTTCTGCATCAGGCTATACAGCAGCACTTTTGGCTAATGCTAGCATATCATGCAGACCACCCCACAAACCTGGCCTTCCTTTTTCCTCCTTTGTTAAGTAACCATAAGAATTCTTCATGACACCATTAGTGTGTGATGAAGGAAAGGCCAAAAGCAAGAATAGGTTCCATCTGAGCCACCTGCTCCTGCAGTTTATGCTTTCCAGACCTGCTAAGTCCCAGTTTTGAACATACCATTTCCACCTAACATCAATGCTTCTTCACAGATCCAATTTTATTATTCAAGGGGTTAGATAATAACCAATTTATGATGGGAAATTCAAGTGGTTTCTGCTGGCCTTAATTCATGGTGCCTTATTTCCTTTTGTGTCTTGTGATTTTGCACTCTGATCTGTTCATTTCCTTAGAACTTTATCTGAGTAAATTAGTTGAGTCCTGAGTTAAAGGTCTACTCCTTCATTTGTTTCTGTTAGACATCTTTGACACTACTAGCCTCAGACAACTTTAAGCTAAATTATCAGCTTGATTTTTTTTTTCAGACCACCCATGTATTGTGAATTCAGGTAGAGAGCCAGATTGAAGCTGGAAATTCTCAATGGAGATTTTAATATGCTGAGTAGCAAGGTTCAAAACCAGGCAATTTTCTTTGAAAACATCTGGTGAAGGAGGAGATATGTTGTATCTGGTTTATCCTTTTGCAGCATATATAACACCTTCAGGACTGAGATATGTGTGGAAGTTTCCTACTAGACTCACATTTTTTCACACCCTTGGAACGTCCCCTTTCCCCTGCCCATTCCCCACCCTGACCAAAGCCATAGAAACCAAAACACAAGTTCACCTGATTCAGCAAATGCCTTCAAGACAAAAGGTAGCTTTAGTTACTGCCTTCAGAAGAGGGCCTGCCTTCCTTTGGCCTTAATATTCTTGGCCTTACTTTCTTGCAAGGTCAAGGATGCCTTAAGTTTTGTTGTATGTTTGAACTGAATTTTTTTTTTAACTGTTTTCAGTAGGAGGGTAAGCTTGGGGTTCTTAGACCAATATTCTTCCTGAAACATAGATCCAGTATCCACACTTTTCTCCATACCATAAACTTTGTTATTGTGAGGGAATGGGTCACAGTGAGAAAGGAAGGAGAAAAGAAGATGATTGTCAAAGGGAGAAACCACTCAGTGTCTAAAACCAAAATGCTGACATGATTGCTCCCTTAAAACCAGGACGTCCATGCTGGTCAGGCACAGGCTCATTAAGCAGAGCAAAGTGTTGAACTTTTACAGCATTTGAGGGAAGCATGTGGGGAGAGTTGTGTTGGTTAGAGATGTGGGAATAAGTTGATAACAAGTTAGACGAGTGTACACTAAAGTGAATCCAGAGCCAATTGGCTGACTTTCAAAGCATAACGGTGTCACTGACAATTTGCTTTCAGAGGTGTGTTCACTGAAGCAAGTTGTCATTGATCTATGAAAAAAGTTTAAACCATTTCAAGGTATTTACTTGTTATCTTGGCTATAGAACTATCAGCCTTTTCTTAGGTGTGTGGAGAGTTTTTATTCTCAGAAGAGAAGAGTCACGCCAGAGGAATACCATGGGACAAGTGAAGGAAGAGGCACCCCAAAAGCTGATGGAGAAGGAGCAGCCTGAAAGTTAGGAGGAAGACAAACTGTGAAGTCACAGAAGCCCAGCAAGTTAAGCTTCTCAAGGAGGTAAGAACCTATGATGGAAATGCCGTCCAGAGGGAGACAGATACAAGTTGAGCAACATCCTGAGAATTTCAGAAAGGAGGGCCCCTGACAACCTTGACCAGAGCCAGTTCAATAGAACAATAATCACAAAAGCAAATTGTAATGAGTTGAGGAGACAGAGAAGTACAGAAAGATAATGGGCAAGTGTAGCTACTCTCCCTTGATAAAATTTGGAAGTGAAGATGAAGAAAGAGATAAGATATTCGTGGGAGGTAAGACATAAAAAGCAAAATAAGAATTTTAAATTAAAAAGCTGGTGTCAGGGCTGGCCAGTTAACTCGCTTGGGGGAGCATGGTGCTGATAACACTGAGTTTAAGGGTTCGGATCCTTGTACAAACCAGCCACCAAAAAGAAAAGGTGGTGTTGATTGTAATTGGGGGCACTAGCCTCCTAGATTTGCAGAAATTGAAGGATCTTATTCATTGATGACAGCAGTACCCAATGTTCAAATTCCTACTGCAATAACCAACAAAAAGACCCCAGCCCCACAACTGGACAGGACAGCTTATTCCACATGAAAGCAGCCCTGTTGGTTAGGAAGTTCTTCCATGAACTAAGCCAAATTTGTCTACAAGACCTCCACCCACTGCCCTATGCATCCCTTCCAGTGGTGCAGGTCCCCCTCTGCATCCTACATGGCACAGATTATGTCACGGCTCTTGCCTAAACCCTTCAACCCTCTCTCACTGGACTCAAGCACACTCTCCCCTCCTCTTCACTAGCTTTTCTAGCTCCTCTCTAATTTTCACTCCAGTTTTCTAGCTTTTTTTCTCACAAGACTGCATCCTGAATGGGATAGATATCTCACCATGCAAAACTCAATCTGTCACTGTGATTTCCAGTGGATGAAAGACAGACAAGGGTGACAGGTGCATGAGTTTTAATGAGGGGGATTGACAGGTGGTGCGGGTTTGCAGAGAGCTTGAGGATGGTGATCGCCAGCAGTCAAGGTAGTTTTGGCCACTGCTTCTCATAGGACCAGTCACCATTTTCATTTTTGCCAGAAATGCTTATCCTCATGTAGGACTGGAGGCAGCATGGTTGATAACTTCTACAATAGAGGTAGGGCTGTTCATCCTTTTTGCAAGAGGGTCTACAGATTCCAATGTTACCCATGCATCGAAGGAGGTGGCGTCGTCCTGGCCAAAAGAATATATATATAGTTAATTTCTATTTAGCAGTGACAGATAAGTCAGGAGCGTAGTAAAAATCTAAAGGGCATTAAGGACTTCCACTTCCAGAAAAATAGAATAAATGTACTTTTCTCTATTCATCTTGCTAAGTACAGTTAAAAATCCTGGGCATTATACCTAAACACAGATATAAGAATACTCTGAGGGGCCGGCCCGGTGGCACACTGGATAGCGCGCCGCTTGGGAAGCACGGCGGCGCTCCCACCCGAGGGTTCGGATCCCACATACAGACCGGTTCCCGCTCACTGG